AATATGAGTATAAAACATTTGTACAATAATGCATAATTTTCACACAATGAAATAAAACTACTTTGCCCAAAAGAGAGATGCAACTTAAATAAACCTTCGACTGAACCGTTGATCAAAAATTAAAAACTGAAAGGATTAGCTGGAATTTTATCAGGGTGTAACCTTCTTTTTTTCTCTGTCGCTTTTCATTTTTTTCTGGATTTATTGTACTGGTCAGGTATCGACAAGAATAAAAAAAAAGATAAGTTTTTTTTCTCGAGGTTTAATCAGAAATGATAATAATAACAATAATGATAATAGTTACACATATATTTTTTTTTTACTAGGAAAAAAAACTCAAGAAATGCAGAATAATATAATTTAAAGCTTCATATGTAATTAAAAAAACTAACGAATGTTTTCCAACATCAAAAACAAAAATATTAGTAAAATTCTATTTCAGTGTTTAAAAAAAGCAAGAAAAAAATTGTCTGCAGTGAAAAAAAAAAGTTATGAAATAAGAATGAGCAAAAGAGAAAAGTGAGAACCGTTTGCACGATAGGAAGGAAAATGCTGCTTGTTGTCTCCGACTGCCAGTCGACCGATTCACAGTGTATCTGCCAACCAACTTAAATTTGCTGCTAAATCAGTAATCCAATGTATAATCAGAGTAAATCAGAATATATACCCACAACACAGAGATAAATATATGAATAGATAGGTAGAATAGCTCTATAGTGCCACTTATCAGTATACGTGATCTATAGGTTTCAATAGAACCAGACAAATGTTGTTTATCCAAAAGAATATAATATTACTATTACTGCTTACTAATGGACCAATGTTTTTGGTAGTGATGATGATGATGACAACGACGATGATGGTGATGATGTCGATGATGCAGGAACAAAATTCGGAAAACCGCACATTCGCGCATCACAACATTCAGAGAAGCAATGATGTTTGGCACAGCGCTGCCAATTGCACAGCACAGTGACGAACGGTGATTAATGGAAAAGTTCGTTCGGACTTCGTCACCGCTATTTTCGCTAACTTTTTATACATTCTTTTTCAATGGCCCGTAATTCTTACTGTTCGTTACTGTCTCAAAGGTATTGTTTCTGCTGTTGCTGCTGCTGCTGCTGCTGGTAACCATTACCGCCTCTTAGATACCGGGTGCCAATGTTGCTACTGTTTTTATCGGTGTTAAAAGTGATGATACCTGAC